ATTAAGGTTTTGATCGAGTTTGTATTTCAAATATAATTACTTGGTGTTGCTTGTTTGTATTTTTCCAATTTTCCCATCATATGCTCATCAGCTGAAGCAAAAATAACTTTTCAAGAAAAAAAAAAAGAAAAAAAAAGAAGGATGAAAAGCAATAGACGATTTGATATTCAAAGGATGTCCGCAGACTGCAGTACATAAAATCATGAAAGGGTAAATAAATTCAGTTTATAGATTCTCAAACCATTTTTCCGGAAAATCAATAGGTATCGAACACAAGGCCCTAAAAAGAATAAAATTTGCTTTTGAAACCAAACGTTAGGCAACATATACCGAAATATTGAACAATTATTCGGCCCCGCCGAAATTTCAGAATTTTGGTGGAAACAACTTAACGAAATGTCGAGACCATTAAGTTTCTGTGTTTTGAACTTATTATTTTTAAGCAATATTGAGGAGAGAATAAAGGAGAACCGAGTTTGAGATATGTATTTCATTTCTATTGGGTACTTAATATTTGCATGATGTAAGCAAATTTTGGCCATTAGAAATGAAATACATCATGTTCCATCCATTAACCAATTCACAATAGAAAACACTTCACAAAAGCCACAGCCAAAGTCATGAGTGAATCTACATATCAGCAACAGTAATAACATAATTGTAAACTTCATACAAATATAACTATAAAGTACATGAAGGCAAAAAGTAGAACCAGCTAGGGGTGGGTTCAAAAAACCGAAAACCGAATCAGACCGAGGCCGAAAAAAACCGAACCGCAAAAAAACCGAACCGAAATTGTCAAACCGAACCGAACCAAATTTGACCAGTTCGGTTTCGGTTTTTGAGGCTCGGAAACCGAACCGAACCGAACCGATATATATATATATATATAATTTTTTTGAATATTTATAAATAGTTTAGTCATACAATCATAACAAAATAGAACCTGTTGCCAAGTTGGTTTCAATGAAACTTTACAAGCTGGAGGCATGGGTTTGAACCCTCATGCCTTCAGGATTTGTGAGGTTATTTTTAATTTTTTAATCTTTTTAACAAAACCCTTAAACCTTTATTGCATTTGATTTTGTTAGATTATTTTAAATAACATTTTAATTAGTATCTTTTCTTTTATTATTTCTATGTAGAAATGGCAAGTGGAAGTTCAAAAAAAGGTGATATGTTGCCCCCTAGGCCACCCAAGCATTAGCAAACAAATTGTCGTTGAAAAAGTACGTGGATCACTCTCATTGTGGGGCACTTGAAAGTTGAAATTTGGAATGTTTATTTTAGTCTTTTAGATGTGGAATACTTAAACTTTGATGTTTATTTTAAGTTTGGACTTTTGGAAGATTTAAATTTTGATGTTTATTTAACTTTGGACTTTGAAACACTTGATTATAATTAAACTTTGAATTGAATGTTTATTTTCATTGTCTTTGAGTTGAGACTATGATTATATTAGAAATTTGGAATGCTTATTTTGAGTCTTGACGATTATGTTGAAATAGGACTTATTACAAAATGGATGCAAGTTGTTTTCATATACTTTTTTTAAGCTACTTGGAAAAAAAAGCAAATAAAAAAAAAAAAAAAAATCGAACCAGGCCGAAACCGAACCGAATATAAACCGAACCGAACACAAATCGATAGAAAACCGAACCGAACCGAACAGTAATTTCGGTTCGGTTTCCGGTTTTCGTAAAAAACCGAACCGAACGGAACCGAACCCACCCCTAGAACCAGCATCTCCAAATTCAATCAAATGCTGCGAGAGAGTTCATGCGTAAACCGCGAGAGTTGAACATTGCATCTAAAGCCAAAGGCTGCATTCAAACCATCTAAGCCCTAGTTTGGTATTAAGGTAATTCTGAAAAAAGTAGCTATAAAAAAAAGTTGATAGTTTTTTTATGTTTGGTAAACATTCAGCTTCAATTTTTTTCACAGTTTTGGGTGAAAAAAAGCCAAAAACACAAAGTTGCAAAACCCAGCTTTGAAAAAAAGGCTTTTTTTCACATCTGTTTTACATAAAAGTTTACCAAACACTATGTTTACCAAACTAGCAGTATTATAGTGTTTGGTAAACTTTTATGTAAAACAGATGTGAAAAAAAACCCTTTTTTCAAAGCTGGGTTTTGCAACTTTGTGTTTTTGGCTTTTTTTCACCCAAAACTGTGAAAAAAAAACTGAAGCTGAATGTTTACCAAACATTAAAAAACTCTCAACTTTTTTTGATAGCTACTTTTTTCAGAATCACCTCAGTACTAAACCAGGCCTAAGTCCACAAAGATAACTATGGAGCGATTTTATGTCATCGTGAACAGCTGTAGCTTTGGAACTCATCGTGCTCTCAGTCAAGATTCGCTTCAAATTTGGATGATCATCACATGAATACTTTACGACCATTTTTTTCAAATTACGAGCATGCTCCAGCATATACTTTGCTAACTCAATCCCATTCGAAGTAAGATCCATAGTAACCTGCTAGGTTGAGAAACAAAAGCAAGGTTCTGGAGTTCCCAATAACTCTTACTAAACAAAGATGACTGAAAAGGAAGGAGAAAGATTAATATAGTAAAAACCAATTGATTGCAAAACCGAAAAACACAGATAAGGAAACATGGTAAAAACTAAGTTGCGCATAAAACAAGTATTTAAAAGGCCAAAAAACGCATAAAATTTCACTTATATGAGTTTCTTGGTAGCGAAAGAATTTTCTCCTTCTGTGCAAAGTATTTAAGTTTGGCACTGCTTTAAAAAGAGAGACCAGTGTCGGGACTCTGTGATCTTCAATGAGTTCTTCAAAATCTATACGCAGAAATGTAACATCATGCAATGGTCCCGGCACAAGACCTCTATACAAATCATATTATGTACCGATTATTCTTTCCAACTAGCATAAAAATGATAGAATTCTCATTTCATGTACCTTCATGGTCGCTTCGTCCAGAATTAGAAATTTAACCCTGCGCCTACTGTAAAGGAACTTGATTGCACTGTCCAAGTCATACACGCCAAATCGATGAGAGAGCTTAACTTTTTCTAAACGAAAGAGTTCCCCAAAATTCAGATTGTTATTCATCACATTCCCTACCCTACTCAAGCACTTAAGATTTGGAGCAGACATAACAAATAATCTGTCATTAGGGGAATTACGTGACCAGTCAATGCTGATATGTTCAAGTTTCTCCCCAAAAACTTTTAGATAGAGGAGGCCCACACCAGAAACCTCAAATGATTCCAAAGAACTTTCAATGGGGATATTTTCTATCCCTGTAACACTTTCAAGCCGGATATCCTTAATGCATTTGCAACAACATGAGATCCATTTGCAAAACCCCTCCTCTAAAGTAACAAAGTTCAATCTCAAGAACACAATATTATTAGAGGAGGGAGAGGATGATGGTGATTTAATAATGCCGTACTTTAAACTCACACGTAGAGACCTCAAAGAACGACAAGAAAATATGCAAGAAGGAAATTGTAACAGTGCCCCCTCATAATCTTGTACGTAACCTGCTTCAACCAACTCAAATTCAAGTGCTTCAACATTACATCTTACCGCGTTATAAATCCACGCGAAGATTTGATAGAGCTCTTCATCAAAACCCCGAGCTGTGGCAGTGGCAGAGAAGACACGGCACAACCTAAGAGAAAAATGTGTATCTTACTATACTATTCCCACGCTGAATCAAGAATCTATCAAAAGAACTCAAAAAATTTGACAAATGCGGATCGACAGAATTATGCAACAAAACACCGATAAACTCGTATTGTTGGAGTTGATAAATGAAGTCTTCTGCAACTTTTGGACACGGTCCCAAGACGAGTGAGCTCTTTTGTATCATCAAGGAAGTGAATATGATGAGCAACTTCATCCGGGAGATTACTAAATCTTGTCCATTACTGTATAAGCAGGACCTGGAACTGGATCCCCTTCTGATCTAAGGATTTGAGCCCACTAATCAATAAATCCGGATCATTGAAATTTGATTCGACGATTACAAACAAGAGGTATCTCTCAAAGTTATAATAATTGTAGCCGTTAGATCAAATTTCAATGACCTGAATTCATTAATTAGTGGGCTCAGATCCTTTTGGATCCGGAGGGGATCCAGTTCCAATTTAGTATACCCATTAGCGAGGATGCCTGAATTAATTTGCTTTAAATTTGTTAGCTAGGAAAGTGTGAATTTGCTGCTTTTCCATGAAACTCTTTCCAATTAATTAAAGAGTTGGAATACTAATGGCAATATCGAGCGATTGGCGATTTGTCTTCTAAATATTATCAATTATTTTTTTAGAGGACCTCAAGAGTGCAGAATAACTGGTCGTATGAATTTCAATTGATTCATTTGACCGTGAAGCTGAAGGACAAATAATATAAATAATATTTCATTTAAGCACATTTTTTCCAAGTGAGATATTATGTTCCCTTTACTAAGCAAATTGCAGACCTTTTAACTTGGAAAATTATTAGCCTTTTAGGTACCCTTGGTACGTAGATAAGATGGAATGGGATGCAACGGAATTTGAAAATTTATTTGTAAGGTTTTATTTTTTTAATTTTTTTTACCAAACCTAGTCACAAGGGTTTCAGTTAGCAAAAGTGTGTTTTTGTTGTAATCATTTTGATATTTTTATTAAAAATGCAAGTGTTTCTTAATTAAAGTTGTGGTTGTAACAATGCATATATAGTTGTTTCTAAGTTTTTTTACCAAACATTTTCAAAAATACTTTAACCATCAAAAACACGTTTTTAGCCATTTCAGAATCAATCTCAAGCCTTCAATCTTGTTATTTGTTTTAGACCATACAATATTAAGGGGGACGATTGAACGGATACAACTAGTAACTCTTAAGCAACATTCGCCTTGTGTAGTCTTCATATGTTTACAGTTTACTTAATTAATTGCCTGTTTGTGATTAACTTGCGTAGGTATTAGCACATTCTGGCAAAATGAAATATCACATTCCATATATTAAGCAAATTACAATAAGGATTGGGAGCGAAGCACTTTTCATAAAAGCCAAAGCCAAATTCATGAAAACTTACAGAGCATATTTGCTAAATTGACAACAATATGTATTGTCTTTCAACTGATCAAATGCAATAAGTAATAAATACAGGCCTATATACAAATCAGAATCTGAAATAATCCTTTTCTTGGACTATAAATTACGATTAAGAGCGTAATCCGCTGGTAACGATAAACGAAGGAGGAGATTATCAATCATGCTTTGATACTTCTCTTCCTTCTTAGCTTTTGTTAAACCACTGCATCAAGGCTTGGGTGTTTTGCTTAAGCACTGCTGCTCTTTCCGCCACCAACAGCCCAGTGGGGTTTTGCGGCGGTGCGCTTCAATGCCTTCACTCCCAAAGGATTGCCCTTGCTCTGTTTCAGCAAGAAAGTAAAACAATGTAAGAAAATAATTAACGAGCGGCAACTGAAACAAAATGAAAAATTAAAACGAAATGGTCATCAGAAATGGGGACTTTTATGTGTTCTTACCATCAAACAAGCTCCGGCATTGACATCGCAAACAGGATATGCGCTTGGGCAGCAACTGTAATGGTCATCACAGCAGGTGGCACCTTCAAGTGGACAGCATCCCCAAGTAAAGCAATAGTTTCCAATCTGGTAAATGCAGCAGCACGTGTTGCTCTCAGGGCAAGAGTAGTACTCGTCACAAACTGATATCGGAGATGGAGGAGAAGGACCGGGGTTAGGGGGATTCTGGCCATTCTTTATCGGGTAAGAAGGCTCCATGGCAATTCCACATATCCCATTAGCGGTGTTGCCCAGATTACGCTGCATCCTGATGTATCCCTTCTCTCCCCAGCTTTCGCCCCATGAGTTTCTCACTATCCAGTAATCGAGCCCCTTGTCTGTGCCGTATCCAACAACTGTCACACCATGGTCCAAATCCGTCCCACAACGTCCTGTAAATACACCCTGAAATAGTGAAGCCATGCGGCAAATTAGTTCATGCATTTTCTTCAAAAGCCGTCAAAACAATCATATCACACTGACTTGAGCTGCAGTCTACTTTATTTGGTATAATAAATAATGAAATATTCTTCAACGAGTAACGCTCTCCTGTCAGATTGTTCATCAACATATGTATTTGTTTTACTACATAAGCCCGACAAGAGAACAACATTTCTCTCTTTATTGCAAAGATTTTGTGATATAAAGTGAAGAAAACTTACGGAGTAATACAACTGGAAGTCTCTGCCACCTCCTTCAATGGCAACGGCGATTGGCTGATTGGCAACAGCCTTTTTCAATGCTTCCTCACTGTTTACAGGAACATCTTCATAAGTGTCGATCGAAACCACCCTGGCATTTTTCTGCATAGAAGAAAACAAATGACCAAATGAGCGTGAACTTTAGCTCCTCTTCAAAAATATTTCAGCTAAGCAAATGACAAAAAATACTGACCCTGTAGGGGTCACATGCGGCATCGTATCCTTTGTAAGGATAGTCCTCTTCGCTGTCAATTCCGCCATTTTTTATGATGAACTCAAAGGCGTAGTCCATGAGACCTCCATTGCATCCTTCATTGTATGTTGTATCGCAGTCTACCAGCTCCTGCTCAGATAGTGAGATGAGGTCACCGGTCACTAGCTTATTGATACCTTCCACGGCGGAGATAGTTGAGAATGCCCAGCAACTCCCTGTAATATACAATCAAATTCATTTGGTTACTACTCAAAAAAAGGATTCCAAGGTAACTTGATAATATGTGAAGCTATGTATCACTTGCTAGCGACACATTGTAAGATTAGAGCAAAAGCATATAACAATTATTTTTCTGGTAATTATGATACGTTGATCCAATGCTAGTCGAATCCAAGAAATTATCTAATCTTAATTGAATATATATCACAAAACCAACGAGTTACAAAGATGACAAAAGAGGACCCTTTTACTTCAATAGAGTTAAGAAATATTTGGAAAAAAAAATCAATCATCATGCAGCTGGGTATTAAGACCATCTCCATATCAAATTTCAATTTTATAGTCGATGTGGCAAAGTAACATTTTGTAAAGCCTCTTATTCTAACCGAAATATCAAATTAAAATGTTTTTTTGTTATTGGGTCAAAATTTAATAATAAATTAATAAAAAATTGAAGAAAAATAAAGAAATATGTGAGTCCAACATTAAAATAAAACAATTGCAGCAAAGTAGAGAATGTTGATTCAGGTAGGATTTGACATCTCTTTTGAAACTTTAAAAAAATAAAAAATCATCCTTTTTTGGTCAAAACAGTCCACGTAGGATTTTTAACCTGAGATGCTTTAAAACTATGTGGATCCTCCTAGGACGAATGGAAATAGGGACCAAGGTGGCCCCAAGACCACCTGAGTCCATAATGCATACACGTGAAGGTCTTTTGAAAACCTTCCGAATGTTTGGTAGTGATAGTTTTTTGTACTTACTAAATGTTTTATGTAATACATATTAGACATATTTTGACATGTTGTGTTGACATCACTCGATAAGTTGTATTTACATCACTCATCATATTACTCCGATGTAAGCCAATATATGTTGACATGTGCACAACAAACTCACCATGAATCAACTGATATATTTTTTTTTGGCACAATTCGTGCTCTATTCCTATTCCTATGAACCTACAATATAAAAAAAAAAACACCTAGAATAACGCTAGGTAAACTAATTTTTTAAACAAAATTTGCAAATCATATGACGTATCATAAATAAAAAAATAAACATATTGATAAATACTTTAGTAATAAACCAATCATCAATAATCATGTCTTATAATTTACAAAATCTAATTTAAATAAATAGTTTCCCAGCATAACCCAAAAAAGGGGAAACAAGAACAGTAATTTGTAAAAATCCTCCCCTTCATTACTGCAGGCAACCCAGATTCTTCTGTCGGATATTTTTACCTGTTATTTTTTTCCTACCATAAAAGAAGGAAGATATTTTTATCTAATTTTTTTCATCTTTACAAACAAAAAATTGGAATTATGTTCACGTATTTGGTCTCCAAGTATAAGGTAATTCAAACATGGAAACTGCAAAATCCATGTCTGAAACTATGGATTTCGGAATAATCAACTGTCTAAGTGAATACTCCACGTTTGATTTAGGTTAAACCCCTTTGATTAAGCAATAATCAACCAGTTTATCAAAGTCAACGACTCCCTAATCACACACCTCTGACATATCACCAAGCAAACCCAAAATTCTAAACGAATTAGGACCACGCAAAAGAGAGAAACATCACCGATAAATCATTAAACAGAATAATTTCGTAATTATTTAATAAAAAAGTAAAAACAATTAAATAAATAGAATAAAAATTTACCGCAGCTGCCTTGGTCTTTGACTGGGTTAACTGCGCCCTCCTCCCTCCAATCAATGGAGTCAGGCAACGAATCGCCGACACGCGGCGCGTACCGGTCACTCTTGGTATTCCTGTTGGAGAGCCGCTTCTTCTGAGCGCGAGTCTTGGTGCCAAGGTAAGTGTTCCGGTACTCCTCGTTCGACAGATCGGCGAACCGGTTCAGACCCAGCTTGTAGCTGAGGTTCTTGGAGTTCTGTTCGTCGATGTACCTGAGGTTGTCTTTAAAGATCTGGAACCGCCGCTCCTTCTCTCCCAGGGCGTTGTATGCCTTGCCGTGCTCCGCCAGCCACCCCTCGTACATCGACATCACCTCATCGTCAGTCCTCCAGCTGCCCGTGGACTTGCCGTCTCCGAGGTTGTTGTCGTAGGAGATGATGGACATGTCGAGGGCCGATGAGACAGTGAAGATCGTGAGGAGGAGGACTGCCACGGCCGGCGACGATCGGTACGGCCCCATGTTTTTGCTGTGTTTGTATGCTGAGAAAACAGAGAGAGAAGGGTGGCAGTTGTGAGAAGTAGGAAATGAATGCGTGCGAGAAAGGCGGAGGTGTGGTGGGGTGCTTATAAAGGGAAAAGTTTGATGCGGGGTCGCTGGATATATTTATTAAAATTATATTCATTTTCAGAATAATTGGATGGGATAATTTCTAATAGAATAGAAAATATAGAATGTTGTAACTTTATTGGTATAAAATTGGCAAAGCTGAATTGCACATCCTTAATCATGTTCGAATCTCTGTGTCTTGAGTCTAAAAGTCAAAAAATTTAAATCGCTTACTTTAAATTTGGTGATCCTTGTAACCCATTTTACTGATTTACGTCACAAAAACCAAGAGTTTAGATCTTTTTTTAACGTTTAGGATCTTCTGATTCATGGACTCTAGATTCACCGAAGACGATCTCAATTCTATTGTCACGTTCCCATCAACGCCACAACGTTATGTGGTAAAAGTTGTTTAATCATTGTGTTGATTATTGTTACCAATCCAAGTTAAATTCTTTATTTCGTTGAAACTAAATTTTTTTTTTTTATAACGAGATGGTAATTTATCGTATAGAGGCTTAAGATTAAATGCAACTTCATCAAAACAATATACAAAAAGTTTCCTATTAAGAAAATGGCTATTTGCTTTCAGTTTCTTTTCTTCTATTTTTTATTTTTAAGAAATTAAGAGAATACAATAAAAAAGTCATTTATTATTGAGAAAATAAGAAAGTGGATGATTGGAAATTAGGAATACAACAAGGAGTGTGGGACCATCAGGATGAGATATGATAGGCTGGAGGAGGAGCCCAAGTCCAAGCCCACTGCCAATCACTGTTCGACAAGACAGTGTGGGACCCGTTAGGATGAGATTTAAAATTATAATTATGACATCGGTTAAAATTCTTTGTTCAGCTTGTACACTCACGTACAACTATTGAACAATTGAGTCCGTTTGATTGTAGTTATAAGTAAGGTAAAATTTTTCATAATTTTTCCGAACTCGACGGATGTGAATATATTGTAGCTTCTCATTAGTTATTAATTTTACTTATTTATTATTATATAATAAAAAACAAAGAATGTACTGTATGGTGGTGGGTTGGGCACGCAGTCAGATTTAGGTTTGGGGTGTAGCGTTGTATTTTCGTATGAATTGGGAGAGTGTCGGAAAGAGACTGCTCCATTCGTCCCACTATTTGGAGAGACTTTTCATGTTGCTTGTACCAATTCAATTATTTCCTCCCCCTTCATTTTCCACCCACTGTGTCACCTCAATTGTAAATTTTTATTTTCCAAATCCATATAAATATAATTCTTTCGTTCACCACGGGACAAGACTCAAATATTCAACGAATTAAAAGATCGAGGCAAACAAAAAAAATTTCTTGTAGATCACCTATACTCATGATCCTGAATTTGATTTCTTTCTCTTCAGATGTTACTTGTATTATAAAAAAATCTCTTTAACATGTCAACTCCAAAAAAATATACAAAAACTTACAATTTGTAAGATTACGCCAATTGGTTTGGAATATCTATTTGTCACACATGCAATGAATGGGCCATAGCTTTTTGTTGTGAGATTCATATTTTATACCTAAAAAGAAGTTGCCCGTCTTCAAGCTCTTAATTACGGTCATACATCCTCCATTAGGAAATTGAATTATATAGTCCCAAGAATAATAATTGAGAAACTACAAAAAGGTTAATTGCTACTTCCGTGGGGCCATGAATCATCGTGAAATTTTAGTAGATATTTTTATGCGGACGGTCCCAAAATTCCCAATTCCAATCAAAAGACCCACACACGACACGAAAGTGCGCTTTATGATAAGAGGCTTGATCAGGGAAGCAACAAACATGAATCCACATATTTTTACTTTAGAAATGAAGAATCTAAGTTCTTCAAATTCAGCTTTAGAGAACGTCAAGAAGATTATTTTAAAGTGAAACTCGTTATGAATTTTTTTTTATTTTATAATTTAATTTTAATTTTCATATTAACATTTAAATTCATATTCTTGTTGTTCAAAAAAAAAAAAAAAAAAGAATTTGAAAAAGTGTTAACCGTTACTTAAAATTCGTAATCAAATTCTTAAATATCAGGAACAAATAAACTAGAAGAACCAACACGGGGTGGCCCAGCGGTTGAGGACAAATTCCAAGCCCGTATTCCATAAGCACGTCTTGGGTTTAATTCTTACTGTTGGTGAATCGCACGATGGTGGCCAGAGGAGGTTAAAATGCATCTGTGAGTCTTTCCAACCCCCAAAAAGGTGGACTGTCATGGCAAAGCACCAACTGGTCCCCTTTTTTAAAATAAATAAATAAATCCACTAGTAGACTAGTTGATTTGATTTTCTTTCTAGTTTCCCTATTCTTAAGTTTCTCACTTTATCTCATTTATAATAAGTAAACATGCACATATAGTTTCATATGTATACAAATTTTTAAATTTGCCCCTTCTGTGTGTGTATTAATTTAACTTTTGAGTAAGTTGACACTTCTTAATCGGTAGATTAATTTCACGTAAATTATTTTTCAACTTGTTTTTTTTTTTATATATATAAAAGGGTAGTTAATTTCATTGAATATAGTTCATGTTTAAAGATAATAATCTCACCTGGCTAATTGATATTAGTGCGAAAACTAAACTTTTTTCGAATTTAATGTATATTAATGAAATGTAGCGAAAGTAAGATTGATTTGCGGTGGCAAATAAGAGGAACACTTACGTGAGAAATTAGGAAACAGTGGGCTAAAGTAAAGATTCCACGACATATTGGTCGGTAGAGGGCTCCAAAAGATGCATCGTTGATTCCCCACGATACTTTCTATTTCAATTCCCATTTTAAAAATATAGAAAAACTTAATCTTAGCTTTGAGTCACCAACTAAGACACTTGCCCCATGTGGAACTGTACACTAACAAGCCTTCCAAGCTGTTACGCCAAAAAGAACAATTTACGTGGAACATGTTCGTTGTTGTATCTAGTTGTGAATTTAGAACAAATTATTTGGAGGATCATGTAAAAGTTCATAAATATTCCTTATACGTATAAGAACCTTAAAAATTAAACCATAGCTTTATCATTTATAATTTATAGAAGAAATAATAATACAAGTTACAATTGTCCACAACGTATTTTTATATTTTGAAAACGCTGCATTATAGCTTCCTTATCAATGGAAGAAAAAACATTGCTCTTCATATAAACCACCATGCTATTAATCAACTATTCATCTCCCATTCGATAACACGATAGACTTTTTACAATATTCATAACGAAAAAACTTTTCCCACTAAAGTAATACCAACTAATAGAACAAAAGTCAATACGGGGTGGTAGGAGGTTGGGGCTTAGGGATTGAGTTTGGTTGGATTCAGATTTAAGAATTGGAATTGAGTTAGGGGCTTGCAGCAGCCGGCAGATATATTTTTTAATAAAATAACCTAGCTCAAAATGACATCGTTTTGGTTAGGTAATATTTAAAAAATAATAATAATAAGGGTAACCCCTCATTAAGGCATTATATCAAGCAGTTGATGGCAATGCATGAAAGGCAACTCCAACTTTTAAAGGAACAACACCTAAGTCATCTATAGAGATTCATCAGATTCAGAGAATCAACTAACGTCCTTGTTATACTGTAACGTTATGTTAAAAACATATACATAATATTAATCATGAATCAATATATTATGGTGACGATAAATCTGCTTTATGTATATAGATCTCGTTCTACAGGAGAGGACAGGGGAGGAGAGGAGATGGGTAGTGGGCCCGCAAGCCCATGGTGTAAAGTTATCACAGTTCCGATAAAGTGGGACGTGAGAGGTGAGCTTGCTGAATGCGACTTGTCTCTTCCACTAGAACGCAGAAACATCCGAAGTCATCAATCGAGTCGCCCATTTGATCTGATATGATATCCCATCTTCCAGCTGTTTACTGCTGTGCTGCTGACTACTCTTTAGGGCGCATGGAAGCTGTGATTTCCATTCAAAAAGTGCAATTTGAAGATTTCTGATGCATTTTTCCGATCAACTGTGAGAGTGGGCAGGCAGCTTCCACCTCTACTCTACCTACTTGTCCGTTTCTGTATTTATTTATGTTTGAATAATTAACCACTTGTTTTTCAACCCCATTGTTTAGGATTCATATTCAACTATTCATAGTAACTAAAAATTTGCGCTACAACCGAAGAATAATATTTCGTGTAACCAAAATACTGTTGTAAACACAAAGAAATATATTTCTGGGGCACATCAAATTTTCGTCAATAGTATATAAAAATTGATGGTAATCAGTTCTATAGAAACTGTTGGGTTGGTTTCAAACGGAGGAATTAAATGTTGAATTGTAGTAACAATTTCGCCCCCTCTACTACCATGGAGGGAAGGGTGGTTAGCTCTCGAAGAGTTTACGATTTTTCACCTTTGGTTTCGAGGGTGGTCGTTTTGTGCCCTACTTTGTACAACTAATACCACCTAATCATCTATTTTATAAAATAAAATAAAAATATGATATATAAGAAAGTTTTAGACGTCGACTTCCCTACTCTATTTGCTATATTTGCAGGCAAAATAACTTATTTAACGATCAACTAAAACATATCTTCAAGTTCATATTCTACACGGCTAGTTTTGGTTTCTATTCTTGGCATTGATGAATCACACGATGGTGGTCAGGAGGAAGCTGAAATCATTCTGTGAGTCTTCCCAACTCCTGAAAAGATGGACTGCCATAGTGGCGAAGCCATCAAGTGGTCCTTGAAAAAAAAAACAACTAAAACATAATTAAGTGTTCTATGGCAGACCAAAATCAACTAGGTATTGATCATTTGGTCAAGTGATATTTTTCCTTTTTCAATGTTAAAAGGTGTCAAGTACGAATCTCTTAACTGTTGACATAAAAACATAATATGTAGGAAAGGAAGTAGTATTTCTTGAGAATGCTTGTATATTCATAGAGATAGAGATTAGAAGCATAAGAAGATTTAAGAAGAAATGTCTTAACAATATGATGCATACGATATTGATGGGCAAA